CTAACATGTCACTCTAAACCATTCAGCTTTGTTAGTCTTACATGCCAAATATTTGATTGGTAGTATTAATATTTTTATTACAGTTAATTATTTTCTGGCACTTGGGGAGAAAACTAAAGTCACTTTGGTATGGCTCAAGTCATCTCAGCTGTTTTGCTTAAAAGAGCTGAAGCAACAAGTGTGACTGTCACTGCTCCTTCATTAATTACCACTTTACAGGTACACAGCATGCTGTAGCTCTAAACCATTGTAACACTGTAATAAAGATTAGGCAGATGTATGAAAACCATCCAGCATACTGAAATTGAGACTTAAATAGTCCTTCCTCAAGCATCTATTTGCACATATATTTAATGCTGTCAGACTGACAGTTAAATTAAACAAATTGCAGTATAATGGCACAGTTAGATAAATGTCTGCTTTCTAATGGAACCAAACTGTGGTCAGTGTAATGATTAAAACTTACAAATGTGCCTATAAACAGTATTTAACACTACAAACAGTGTATCATATAAGTTTATATTATAATAATACATAGGCTATCTTCCGAAGAAGCTAATATTAAGTGCATTTGACAAATGTGAAATGGTTTTAGAGTAGAGTTACAATGTCCTGTATGTACCCTATTAGTCTGGTTCTTTTAAGTGCCTTCACAAACAGCAGTAAACTGATTAGATTAGATTAGATTAGATTAGATTAGATTAGATTAGATTAGATTAGATTAGATTTCATAGATATCATAGATGTTAAAGGAAACTTGGAGCTTGTACAGTATTTACTTTGCACAAACAGAAATTATGTCAAGAAGTCATGATCAGTGTGTGGGCCAGACTTTTTGTCAGTACCTCAGAAAGAGAGTGGCAAATTATGCAATAATATCCGTTTATGGCTATCAGTGGCTCATACTTAGGAGCATGGGAAAGATCCTTTTTTTTAATTTCTGCATTGTGACTAGAATACTCTGCTGTGCACCACCATGCTGTTTATAAAACCTTTAAATAAAAAACTTTATCGATCACTCACACTGCCACAGTGTTTAATCAGTGCAGGAGAACATAGCAAGCAGTTGTGTATAATCTTGAATATAGCCAGTTTCCACCATTCTTTCCAACGTGACCCGCCCATTCGCTGCTACTGCCTGAGCTCGGTCAGGTGTTCCTTGTGCAGCGACGTAAACTTTGAATTTGGAAAACTTACTGGATTTTGTGTCCGGAAAAATACATTCGAGACCATGCTCAGACGGATACTTCAAATGGTAAGCTTCTGGGGACAACAAGGTTAACAGTGTCTCTTTTGTTTGGTTAAACAGAGCCGTTTTCTTTTGAGACACAAGGCCTATTCTTGTGTTTTCATGCTGGGAAAGCACGTTTTAAAATACAACGTGTCCCTATTGGGTGGGGTTATTATTTTTGGCCAATGGGAGCTTTTCCATTGGAAGATACCGCCACATCCTTGTGAACATATCAAGCGCTCCTTGTGTGGGGTTGCCCCAGCTAGCCAGTCAATGCTAACGTGGTTTGTTGACAGGGAATGCAACAAGCTAATACCTGTGTAATAATGAATATATTTCCCAGTGTCTCTACATTGTCAGTGTTAGTGGAGTAAATAAAAAAACCCGGCTAGCTAAAGAGCTTGGTCACTGAATGATTTTAATTTCGTGGTTTCCGTTAGCTAACTAAGTTTCAGCGGTAATGGTTAATTCATCGTACAGTCAACACATGCTAACGCTGACGTTAGCCACAGGTTGACTGTCGGGAAATCCTGTGTCAGCTGACTAATAGCAACATGGAAAAACTTGTTTGTTTTATTTGGTGTATACCAATGTTAACAGTGACATGGTTGTTTGTATCAGTTATCAGTGTGTCACAAAAATTACAAATGGGAATAACAGACGTTGGCTACAGTTAGGACTACATTTCCCACAGGGCACTGCTATCTGCATCACTGTGGACACTCGGCCTGGTAACTAGAAAAGTCCACACATTGCATTTAGGTCAGGGGTTGCCAGACTGAGATCTGAAAGTGATTTCGTTGTAAACGTCTAAGACGATAAGAAACATAAGGCATGTTAAAAATTACTGCTTTGATCCTGTACCAGTACCTCTGTGCATAAGCCTGTAGCAGACCTTTACACTATCTTGTTTAATTATTCACACAGTCCAACCCACAATGCAGATCATAGGCTTAGGAGCTTCTAGGAAACAATGTGATTAAACTGGGTCCACTTGTCTAATGCACACATGTCCTTTGTATTAAAAAGCCTGGGGATTACTGACTTGTATAAATGTGGTCTTGTGGTTGAGTCATTTTATGAGCACAAATTGTAGACCACAGAATCAAGATACTGATTATCATGCATCTTTATTACTATATCATTTCAGAGCTGCTCTATCACCTTTGAATGTTTGCTATATTTTACTTTACTGATGTAGGAGATTTCAACATGTTTAATATAAGGATAATCACCTTCATTGGCCAAGTATGTTACACACAAGGAATGTGTTTCTGGTACAGAACCAATGGCAGCCATCTGCGGCACCACCTCAGCCGACGGCTCTAACCATCGGGGGCAATGGGGGGGTTCAGTGTCTTGCCCAAGGGCACTTTGACACGTGGACTGTTTCAAAGCATTTTATGTGTGTTAAAGTGCTCAGAGTTCCCATCTCACCACCGAGACCCGCATACAAACACATTTTGACCTCATTCATTCATGCAAGCCTGACACCAGCCCAAACAACCTTGCTATGTGGCACAACCACTTCATGCTAGTGTACTGAGCTAATTTCTGGTAACCATATCCCAGTCTACTTCTGAGCAGTATACAGAGTAGATTTTTTGGAATAATTGTAAAAAAAGGATAAAAATCTGCTTTGCATTGTTGTTTAATTACTCCTCTCAAGTTATCAAGTCATCCATTATCCACTCCTCTCAAGTTATCAAGTCATCCATCAAGTATATACTATACTGCATGTCTGTACATTCAGACTAATCAAGTCTCTTTTCTGCTTTCTAGACTCCTGGGAAAGGAGGCTCACAGAATGCAGAGTCAGAGCAGCCTAGCACAGACCTTAACCATGACCAGACATCTGAGGTAATATGGACCTTTTTCTACCTTGCAGAGGTGTGGGTTTGAAGCTCTCTAATAAGTTATCTCATGGTTGATTCTGATGGTGTGTTTTTGCATTCAGGGCTTCATCTGTCCTCAGTGCATGAAGTCTCACAACTCTGCTGAGGAGCTGTTTAAGCACTATGAACTGTTCCATGACACCGGAGACCTCCCTGCTGACATGGCCCCCACTCGGTGAGGTTGAATTTAATGATACATAAATTATGACAAAGAAGAGTCTGACCCCTCTGTGCACTTAACAGAATTTTATTTGTGTGGTTTGTTAATGCATTCTAGGAAAGACCTTACAATGCTGCAGCAAGAGGTTCAGGACCTGCATACTTCCCTGAAGGTGTGTTTGATTTTCTGAACTGCGGCTGTTAGAGATGTGTGTAAAATCAATGATTGGTTAGCACAAAGACTTGACGGCCTGTGTTTTTGTGTGTGTGTTTTCAATTTATTAGGAGGAAAGATGGTTCTCTGGAGAGCTGAAGAAGGAGTTAGACAAAGTCCAAGGACAACTGAAGCAAGTAATTCCTTCAAAATATTTAACATCTATCATAACAAAGAGTTGACTTCTAAATATGAAACACCTTTTATGATTCTCACTTTTACTGTTCACTTTCCCTTGATTTTCACAGAACGATGGACAGATGAGCTCAGAGGATTCAGGTAGCTGACATATCTAAAAAATACTTGGGGGAAAAAAGATATAAAAATGTCAGTCATTCACTTATGTGTACTGTTTTTCCCAGTCCTTGAAAGGAAGTTGAACGAAGCAGAGACAGAAAAGTTCAACATCAAGCAGATGAAAGACCTGTTTGAGCAGAAAGCTGCCCAGCTGGCCACAGAGATAGTAGGTTAGTGTGGGGCCAGGAAACTGTGAGGCTTGTATCTGTGGGTCTGCATCATTTACCAGCACTGAAGTACTTTTATATTAAACTAATGTTAAGCTCAATCCGCCCATTGTGCTTAAGTACTTGTTCTTCTAGATTTTCTTTTACAGCCTAAAGATTTTGCATTTTACACTATGTAATGTCCTCCGATCTGTTTGGGTAAAATTGATGATGTGAACAAGTGAGGTTGTTTTTATTGGAATATTATTCCATTTTTAAAATTTGAATTATTGAATGTGACAGACTTAAAGTCTCGCTACGATGAGGAGAAGAGCCTAAGAGAGGTCGCTGACCAGAGGCTGGCCACACTGACCGAACAGCTGCAGAAAGAGAAGCAGGAGAATGAGAGACTCCAAACAGAACTGGTACAGCAACACACACGCAATTTTTTGTTGGTGTTCCTTATTTTACTAGGCTTGTGAGACAGACTTTGCAGTTTGTATACACCTGCCTTGAATGTTGTGCTTTGGAGTTTGAATTGACACCATGAAATCAGTTTGGCTATGAGCTTTGTGGTGGAAGAATCGACACAGCTCCTATCCAGACAGTCCCCTCATCACTGTTATAGGAACGTGAAACACAACATCATCCGACACATTTTTATCAAAAGAGCCCAAAGGGCGCTTAAAAATAGGTAGTAGGATTAGTAATAGTAGGGGAGTGTTTTGGTAGGAGTAATGAAATGTACAGTATGTGCATTTTCAGGGTGGGGGTAGGAACTATTTCAGCATACTGTTTGCATTTTCTGTTAGATCTGTGACTTAGTGGTTTGTATTACATAGTTGTATTTGTTAATTTTATTGTTAGTCTTGTGCCCAGGGACTACAGATGGAAGTTAGCTATTAGCTAACAAATACGTGTATGGAGGCTTCTTTGTACACCTGAGCAGCTCAGCCATTTCTCATAGTTTTGATTTATCTTAATACCAAAATGCCTTTCTGCTACCCAGTCCCCATGTCTTTGACACAGTAGGTGAATCCCAATTCTCTTAAATGCATCCATGTTTCCCTCATTTGTCTTTTCCTTATGTCTTGGTCCTGCACACAAAAGATGCGTTTAACTGACGTGAGACGTCCTTTCCTCTGATCCTTCATGTAAAGCATCCAAGTTACATACTGATTTCTGATAAAGGGGCATGTCATTCCATAACAGACTTCTGTGAAGGATGCTCTGGTGTATTCTCAGCTATAGATCCTCCAGGAAGCCCCCTCGCTCCTCAGAGCAGAAATAAGAGTTTTGGGATGTTTTTTATCATGGCAGACCAGAACAACTTTAGTCTCAAGCAAGGGTCGAGGAGCGAGGAATGATAAAATAAGGGAATTGGGATTCACCTTGTGCCTTTGCTCTACCTCCTAGCTGCAGCGGCCGGGAGTGGAAGACGTGGAGGTCCTGCAGAAGGAGCTGGTGCAGGTGCAGACCTTGATGGACTCTATGACGCGTGAGAGGGAGGAGGAGTCTGAACGCCTCAAAAACCACTACGAGCAATTGCAGGCTAATTACACTACCTCAGAGGTGAGAACGAAACTCCTAATGCTGTGCCTAATTCTCATTAATTAATGCTTGGTGAATAATTCATATTGATTTCCTGCATTTTTTTTAAAATCCCAGAAGGAGATGAGTATTTATAGGGCTCTGTCAGGCAGCTCCAGGCCCTGAACCTCTGTTTCTGCACAGCTCTACAAATGATCTTACAGCACAGCTTCATATTTTTAAAGCATTGTGAATATATTTAAAAACTGTCTGGTATTTATTAAATAACAAATGACTTTAGTACAGTCTAAAAGGAGTCTAAAACAGTAGCTGTAATTCATTGATTGTTCAGTTTCATAGTATGAATATATAGGTTATGTAGTTGGTAGCTAGTTTTTAGGTCTACCAGCTAAATGTCAAAATGAATGTAAAAATAAATAAGGCAACAGTTAGTGTTACATTCTTGTATTGTTTGCCCTCATTGTTTTAGAAGGGTTTCTGTTACAGAGTGTGAATGATGTGTGTTGAGCATTATGATGAAGGGAGAATGGTATCTCGCTTCCATATGTACTGAAAGTGTATGATGAAAGTGACAAACTACTGAACTGAACACAACAGCACATGTTAAAAACAACCTTGTATAAAAAAAACCTTGTATAAAATACTCCTCTTAATAGTGCCATAAAGAGATATCACAGTAACTTAGTAAAACTGTCATCATTTTTCTCTTAGCCCAGCAGCTCTGTGTTACAGACTGGCCTCTTGCTGTCATATGGTGACTTCCCTCTGTCCTTGTCTCTCTTGCCCTCCCCTGCTTCTGCTGCTTCTCACATAATCTATGCTTCTCCAACACTTACTCTTTCTTCAAGATTCATAAACTGGAGGTAAAACACATCATTTCAAGTTGGTCCCAAATTTAGTTTAACTGTTTTGACTCTGCTAAGATAAAGATTTTTAGAAATTGATTCCCCCTCCCCCAACCAAGTGTTAACTCTTTTTGTAGTTTTTATGTGACTGAAGCCAGGGCCCCATTCTTCTGACTTGGATAACAAGAGTTTTCCAGATTAGGATGTTACTCGCTGGACATGACTCTGAATTTTTTGGTTTGAAATGTGTATAAGGCTTTTGTTAGAGAGCCCAAACCTGTAAAAGAGCAGGCATATTGAGTTAGGTGGATTATGACATGATTTTCCAATGAACCCATTTTCAGATGTGAATTGGCTCAGTTTCTTAAAAATATAAAGAATGCTGATATAATTTTAGATGGGAACATATAGGTTAGTAAGAGCTCATTATGATCTGTTGATCTAGGTTAATCATATCACAATTGAATTATCCATAATCGTACATGATAAACCTTTAAACAAAATAAAAAAAGAACCAACACAGACTTTGAGACTATGAAGAAAAAGACTCCACTAAAAGATTCTTACTCATAAAAGACAAATCAAGCCAGAGCATATGAAATTTGGAATTTAAACCCTAAAATCTAATTGATAAACGCACAAGTTACTAAGCTGATAATTGCTTATGCATTTAAAGTTACTTTTCCAGAGATTTTAGAAACATTTATGATTGTCATTTAAAACGCTCTCATGTGCCTATGGACCAACATCACACGTGGGCCAGACACATTCACTGAATATATGCAGTATATGTATAATATAGCCATAACGGAAGTGTGGCAACAGTGGAAACATGATAAAGTATATGGAACAAAATAACAGTACTAACAGTAAGCTGCAGAAACACATACAATGATACTTGTATATATTATTTATTGCCTCAGTGCACATTGGGAGGGTTACTTAATCCCCATTTGAAGAATAGGGTCCTGGGTGTTACTAATCGATTTGTTTTTTTTTTATGTTTGTTTTTATTAATGCCAGCTCTTGACATTGGTGATTAAGTAAATTTCTTTCAAAAGAGTTTAATGTTTCTGTTGTACTGCAGATGACCATATCCCAACTAAAAGCAGAGCTAGAGAAGGGTCCACAAGAAGCAGCAGTCTACACACAACAGATCCACCAGCTGCAAAGCAATCTGAATAATTTGCAGCAGCAAAGCCAGGTAACAAGTGCATGCACACACGTACACACACACACACACACACACACACACACACACACAGACACACAGTTTGTTTTGTAGTCCATGGGGACTTTACATTGACTTACATGCATTTCCTGTAGACTAACCCTAACCTTAACCAGAACCACTACTTGCCTAACCCTAACCCTGACCCTAACCTTAACCTAACCCTAACCTCATCCTAACCCTAAACCATGTTGCCACCCTAAAATTCAATTTCTTGCCCATGGGGACCTCAATTTAGGTCCCCACCGTGAAATGGGTCCTCATGAGTTGGTATGGAGTCAGGAAGAAGTCCCCACGTAGCAGGAAAAACACGTCCACACACACACACACACACACACAGACACACAGTTTGTTTTGTAGTCCATGGGGACTTTACATTGACTTACATGCATTTCCTGTAGACTAACCCTAACCTTAACCAGAACCACTACTTGCCTAACCCTAACCCTGACCCTAACCTTAACCTAACCCTAACCTCATCCTAACCCTAAACCATGTTGCCACCCTAAAATTCAATTTCTTGCCCATGGGGACCTCAATTTAGGTCCCCACCGTGAAATGGGTCCTCATGAGTTGGTATGGAGTCAGGAAGAAGTCCCCACGTAGCAGGAAAAACACGTCCACACACACACACACACACAGCCAGAGCCAAACAGCTCCAATTATTACAGTCATGCCAGTTCAATGATTCTGAACAGATTACTGCAGCCATAAACATGTCTGCTATGACATATGTTGCTCAATATACAGGATAAAACTGTATAGCATTTACTTTTACTTCAGTAATGGTAGTAAGCCTAACCAGATGCCCCTCAAGTACAGAGAACACCACTTCATTTTCCGGAAACCTTCTCTTGTTGCTCAGCATCAGAATGCCCTGCTGTTACCTGTCTTCTTTTGGCACCCTAGACATGTTGATTAAAAATTGCATGCAGTTTTTATAATTAAACCAGCAGGGAGGGATCTCTGCCATGTCAGCTTTGTTACTTGGAAAGAAATACAATCACATGTAACTACACTGGTGCAATGGGACCTGGGATCAGAGACACAGGGTTCCTCCGAAATGCATCAGTGCCTTCGCAGCTGTGTGGGTTTCTGGGTGAGAGAGGGGGAATACAGAACTGGATCTCCAGTGTGATGTCCCCAAGTCACACTTCCCCTCGCAACAGGATATCCTGAGACCTGATCAGATACTTACCTCATGAGGATAGAGACAAAAGTATGGAGCAGACAATGAGACACAGGGGATCAGGACTAAGAACAGACGATCAACAGGTTTCACAGGTCTGTAACTCCAGAACTGGAGAGAGAGAACCATCAGGATGCCATGACAATGACATAAGAGAAGGATGGCAACAAAGCTGTGAGATGGAGATGGGCTGAACAAAAAGGAGGGGAACAATGTTGACCAGCTGCTGTGGTGGCCTGCAGAGATTTATTGACATCTCTGAGGTCCAGGTGCCCTGTCACACTGCCTAGTCAGCAGCACACCCCTCTATTAACAACATGTTCTTTATCATCCTGTTGCCAGGTGGCATGTGATTTCACCTAGAAATGCCATACCACACTGTACTCTGGCTCTTGACAGGCTGCTGGTCTTTCCATAGTATACTGTATATTACATTGGGCATGGCTGTTTGTGCCTTGTTGCAGCTCACCTATCACACTAACAGAAAGAAGCAAATGGTTCACATCCCAGTGTGGCTTAATTAAGCCCAAACAATTCCTGATTAACTTTTCAAATGCTGCCAGTCTTTATCCTTTTTATGAGACCCTGCTTCCTCGAGAAACAGCAGTAAGAGGTACATCTCTGTTGTTTTGTTTTGCTTATTTTTTAACCTGGTTTTCAAGCCAATTTAAGGACATCTCTCATGTTCTAATTTCTTAACCTCCGGGCGAGTGCTCATCTGACTTGTGTTGTTTTCTCCTCTTCTCACAGAGTCTGTCTGAAAAGCTCGCACATAAGGAGAAGGAGCATCGGGAACTGGAGGAGAGTCTGGGAGCTGAAAAAGCTGCCAAAAAGGAAGTCAAAGACAGCCTGAGGAAGAGGGAGCTGGAGGTCCAAGAGCTCCAGGCTTTGGCCACAGGGGCTGAGGCCTCTCTGCAGAAGACCCAGTCGGAGCTTGGAGAGAGAACTGAGGAGCTGGCAAAACTGAAGAGAGAGATTGCAGAGCTGGAAGTGAAGCACACAGAACTGAAGGTTGAAAAGAAACAGCTGGAACAGCAGAGGGAAGAAAAAGAGAGCCAAGCTGCTGAGCAGCAGACGGAGATCAGTCAGGTGAGTATGACCCTCAAAGCACACACAGACAACTGGTGCACATCATACTCCTCAAACCATTAATAGCCCCTCAAACCTTGTGGATGGGGGGAAGCATCTGCATCCACTCTGTATTTACTAGATTATTTGAATTTGCTGGGATCAGTGATGTAGGTTGTGTAGTCTGATGGCAGCAAGAACCTGCAGTAGCACTCCTTCACACATCACAGGTGGAGCAGCCTTTTGCTGAAGATGCTTTTACAGGGTGTCCTGTAAGGGGTGTGAGGTGTCCACAATGGCCAGCAGTCTGTCTGTCAGGCTCAGGGGCCATTAACATCTTTGCATCAAACTGTATGACTATGAATTTTAAAATTTGACATGTGGTTTCCATTTTGTAAATTGTGACAACCGGGTGGTTCATAAACTGTATAAAGGGGCCCATTGTAAACTCAGGATTATGGATAGTTAAGGTTTAGTTTATCAAACTATGACCTGTGGAACTATAGATAAATCATCCATGAAAAAATATGCTCATGCAAATCTATGTTTGGATAAAATCAGTTCAGAATGACATGGAAGAATGTTTCGGTTAACAGAATTAACAAAGAAAGAAATCACTAATCACTGGTGCACAAATGTTATGCAGCTAGGTTAAGACACAATATCAAAGAGGATTCCACATATTATACCTGCATGCGTATCTACTTTCTTGCCTTTTGTCATCTTTTGTTCTCTATCTTTATCATCACTCCTCCCTGCTCTCTTCCTAGCTACACGCCAAACTGCTGGAGGCGGAGAGGCAGCTGGGCGAGGTGCAAGGTCGTCTGAAAGAACAGAGGCAGCTGTCTGGGGATAAACTGAAAGACCGCGAGCAGCAAGTAGCTGACCTGCAGCTCAAACTGTCTCGTGCAGAAGAACAGGTAGGCATCAGCTGAAACTTTAATAATTGCTGCAGGCAAACTGAATTAATGTGATAGAACAGACCGAACATCTAAACATGAATATGCCTGATGTTTAAATGTGCATTGCAAGATATAATGTGCACTGTAAAAACTGTTTGTGTATCTTAAGTTTATTTATTATGTTAAGACAAGTGATTAACACACAAGGAATCAGTGAATTGTGCAGATGACATTAAAAAACACAACAAATATTTCCTAAAAACTAACAAATCAAGTTGACATTTAGAATGACAACACAGAGGCTGTAAGATGCACAGATTGATTGTTAAAGTAACAATTATTAAACAGTCAATTTAAGTAAAAACACTATAAAAATAAAAAGTGCTTCTGGGGGTTTGTATTTTCAGCTGAAGGAGAACACCAGTAAGAACACAGACCTGCAGAACCAAGTGGCGAAAGCCAAGCAACAGCACCAGGAGCTGCAGGCGCTGCAGCAAAACACCAACGGAAAACTCCGTGAGGCTCAGGTGCTCACAAGAAAACCCCTCACATCTGAGGCATTGATAACAATATTAGTGACCATAAAACAAAAAAGGGACTGTGCTGTACAGCGTGTTTTACTTGGATTAATGTGTGACATACACATTCATCTTATACAGTGTTATTTAGTTAATTATGTAAAGTTTTTGATCCATAATAATAAAAGCCAGAAGGCAGATTTTAAATAGTTGTTAATGATTAATGTTATTTTAGAGTAATTAAAGCAATGCGGCTGTTGTGTGACAGTGCTGCCTTATATTGTATACTGGTATGAGTAGAGTATTTCAGCAATTTGATCATCATTTTAAAACTCCTGTGTGTAGAAGCTTCAGAAGATTATAGAGTGTTTTACATTTATCTCATGGTACAGTGTAATATTTTCTCCATTCACAAATAAACAACTCATGTAGTACGTCTGTGTCAGTACAGTGCCTGTACAGTTCATCTTAATATACTGTACCTCAGACAGCATGAAACCCCGACATTAAATAAATAAATACAACTGTCTGTCATAATACCTGATGTAATTTTTGTCCCCTGTTGGCTTGTCTGTATGCTGTAGAATGACCTGGAGCAGGTGTTGCGTCAGATTGGGGATAAGGACCAGAAGATTCAGAACCTGGAGGCCTTGCTCCAGAAGAGTAAAGACATTGTGAGCCAGCTGGAATCTGAGAGAGAGGACTTGTGTGCCAAGATTCAGGCTGGGGAGGGAGAGACGGCTGTCCTGAACCAGCTAAAGGAGAAAAACCACGCACTGCAAGAACAGGTAGATGAACACACACATACACTCATGAGGTCCACTTTCATGTTACTGCAGTCTAAAAGTGGCATCACTAAAGAAATATGCCAACCATAAATGTACAGTCACAACTAACTAACACCTCCCTTTGATAGGGAATTGTTGGTCATTTTTACAGTCATAACCTTTTCTGTATGTGGTGATGCTAAGGTGACACAGTTGACAGACAAGCTAAAGAACCAGTCAGAGAGCAACAAGCAAGCCCAGGACAACCTACATGAGCAGGTCCAGGAACAGAAGACCCTGCTGCGTTTGGCCCAGGACCGAGCCCACACCCTAGAGACCTCAGTCACTGAAGTCACCGCCCAGCTTGCAGACACCAAGGAGAAAGTTGCACAGCTGGATTCTCAGGTAGGCCACTAACTAAGCAATGTCTGAGTAGTAATGCTTAATAGTGGAGTGTTGTCATTGTTAATATTTCATAGACTGTGAAATGTATTTCAAAGAGCTGATCCAAATACAATATACTGTCCTATTGATGTTATCATTTCATAGTGAGAATATTTTTGTTGGTCTTTTTTTAAGCTGAAGGCCAAGACAGAAATGCTGCTGTCAGCAGAGGCAGCCAAGGCTGCACAGAAGGCCAACCTGGAGAACAGCCTGGAGAGTGCTCAGCATGCCCTGCAGGACAAGCAACAGGTTAGCTTCTTCCTTGGAACACTGATATTGGTGGTGATAGTAATATACTATCTCTGAATATGGATAAAACTAAATTTATGGTATTTGGGAATCGTAGACTAGATAATGAACTTCAATTTAAAATTGGGGGAGCTAATATAGAACGAGTATATGAAATTAAATTTCTAGGTGTCATAGTTGATGACAAATTCTCCTGGAAATCTCATATCAGATATGTTCAGCACAAAATAGCAAAGAATATATCGATATTGGCAAGGGTTAGATATATTTTGGATGGGAAAGCACTACGCATTTTGTATTTTTCATTGATCTTACCATACTTAGAGGATGGCGTTGAAAACTGGGGAAATACATACAACAGCTCACTTCAACCATTGTATATATTACAAAAAAGAGCGATAAGAATTGTGCATAAGATGGGGTATAGGGATCACACCAATGGAGCTTTCATACAGTCTAAATTGTTAAAATTTTTTGATTTAGTGGGATATAAGACTGCTGTGTTTATGTATAAAGCCAGGAACAATTTATTACCTGGTGGAATTCAAAAACTATTTAATGAAAGGGAAGGGGGATACAATTTAAGGGGTCAGTTAAATTATAAAATTCATGCTATACGTACAACCAAAAAAAGATTCTGTATTTCTATAAGTGGGGTAAAACTATGGAATAATTTAAGTGTGGACATAAAAAATAGTAATAGAATTGACGAGTTTAAACATAAATATAAAGGTATGTGTCAATCAAGATATATGCAAGAACAGGTTTAATGATTAATTAGATGGAACATTGTGGGTGTGGGGTAAGAATGTTAATACTCTGTAATAATTCTACTTGTGTGGTGTAGAAGATAATTATCCAAGTATGTAATTATGTAAGAATGTTAACACTCTGTTATAATTTTTTTAGTATAATACTTGTGTGGTGTAGAAGAGAATTATTTACTGCTTGCAAACCAATGATGGTAAGATGATGTCATGGGGTAGGACTGGATAAGTCAGACTTCTTCCTACTCCATTCAAGCATGTACTAGGTATAAGGAAATTGATAATGCATTTGTGGATATGTGTGAAATTATGTGTGTTGACATATTGACTGTCTTAACATGTTTGAAAGAATAAATCAAATCAAATCAAAAATATTAAAATCTGGCTAAAACACACTGCAGTGTGCAGTGTAATCTACTACATTTATTTCCTTTGAAAACATCTGTATAGGAAGTCACTCACTCCTTGACTTCTCTATGTTTAGTTTTCTCTTTCTATCCTCACCTTTCCATCACTCTTATCCTGCACACTTGACTGTTGTCTTGTGTAGGAACTGAATAAAGTGCAGACGCAGGTGGCAGAGCAGGCCCAAAGGCTCAAGGAGAGACAGGAGCAGTGCACGCAGCTGGAAACGAGCCTAAAGGAATGCAAAGACAAACTACTGGCCTCAGAAGAATGTGTAGAACAGCTTGAGGGACTCACAAAGGTTTGTGTTGTATTTTTGAATATCTGACATTGGGCTGTAAGAGAGTCATTTTAGACTAGGGGATTTCAATTACTTGTGACCTGAGGTCCACCAGTCTGACTAAGAAATACCCTGAGGACCACTGTTGTGGGGTGGATAGACCATATGGGCACTATTTTAATCCTCAGTCACTTTGGCTTTTCCATATGTTATATATTTGCATTAAATTGATTAGTCACGAACAAAAAGTAATACATGGACATGAGTTTAAAATCTAAAATGCCTTCACTACATAGAAACCTATTTAAGTTATTTTGAATTTAAATGGCAGATTTGTGGGGGACAATATTTGTACAGGTTGTGTAAATGGTTGTGTATAACTGTTGCTGTCTAACTATCTTTGACTGTAAATGACATCAGAACTTTTCCTTTCACGTCCTCTTGTTTTTTTTTTTTTTTTTTTAATAAATGAAGCTGGTGTTTGCATGTGACAGAAATTAGAGTCACAAGTCGGGGAGCTGCAGGCTGCACGAGATCAGGTGCAACAGGAAGTGCAAAAGCTTCAGAAGGAGGGGTCAGAAATTAAGCGAAAGGCTAAGGAGCTGCAGTGCTCGCTGGAAACAGAGAAAGCAGGGTAAGATCATGCACTGTAGTGCAATAATTTTGATAGGTATAGACAGTGTGTTGTATTTCAAGTGAATTTCTTGGTTTGTTCTGCTCTATGTCAATCACTCGCTTTTAATGTGGCATACATGTTCTGCTGTTAAGGGCTACAACACTACAAGAAGAATTAAAGAAAAAGGCAGCTGCTTTGAGTGACATCCAACAGCAGCTGGAGCACTGTGAGCAGGATAAAGCTGCTCTGAAGGTGAACCTGGACAAGGTGACCCAGGAGGGAAAGACCCAGCAGGCAGAGCTGGACAGGAAAGCTCAGAGTCTGTCCGCAGACCTACAGAAGGCCCAACAGGAGAAAGAAGCTCAAAGGAAAGAGCTCGCCTCTATGCAGGAGAACTTAGGAAATGCAAATAGGGCACTGAAAGAGAGTCAGAGTCTACTGGATACAGAGAAGAAGAGCCACAAGTCAGCCATGGAGGAGAAGGTAGGTTCACTAAACTGCAGACAGGAATAAACACAGCTCAGACAAATTCACCACTGTTGTTCCATTATTCAACTTTGGGAAATGTAGCTTGCAACATGGAGAAAGAAATATCCACTGATTTACATCAATTCATCAGTCACAATATTCATTTGTCTTCACTTCAAGGAAAAGTCCAATGAAAAAGCCAGAAAAGAGCTTCTTAAGAATAATGAGGCCATCACCAAGGCAATGAAAGAGTCTAAAGAGCAGCTGGAGCAGATGAGACAGGTAAGCTTTTGGGAACAATTGGAAGATTAAGCATAACTGTTTTGAATGTAACAGCTTAAATCTAGTGTGTCTACAAAATGTCAGGCAGAGAAGAAGCTGACAGTGCAGCTGACATCATTAGAGCAGCAGCACTCAAAGACTCTGGAGACACTGAAGGAAAAGGAGAATGAGATGGAGAAGCTGCAGACACAACTGAGGACAGCCCAGGGGTCCTTTGAAGAGGACATGAAGAAACTGAAGGGCCAAATGGCAGGTTTACAAGAAGCCAGTGTCAAGAAAGTAAGAAGTATTTCCAAATACAAACATGCATTTTGTTTACTAACCATATATCTAGTGTACTTATACTTTTAAAGGATTGATATGAGCTGTGTTTCCTCAAGGTTTTTAATAAAGCAACCTGAGCAATAATAATCATCTTAAAACCTCAAAGGTATGTACATATGTATATGCTTATGTATATCTGTATATGACTCTGTTCTTCAGGCAGAAGAGGAGAAAAAGCTGAGGGTACAGGTGTCAGGGCTAGACCAGGAGCTGACCTCTGAAAAGAGCCGGACAGCTGAGCTGCAGAAGGCTTTGGAGCAAAGTCAGGAACACTTCGCTAAACTTCAGTCTGACTTCTACGGCAAAGAGTCTGAGGTTTCTGCCCTGCGTCAAGACCTCAAGGTACATTAAATGCAGGAATGGTTGGAGGTGGCAGAGGCTGATAATGACTTGATTTAAGGAGGTTAAATGTTGAATTCACAAACATCAATTTGAGCTCATCCTCAGAAAGGAAGGACAGGGAAGGGGACTGATGATTGTTGTGAGCGGCTCCCACAAGATCACTTCTTGTTTGAGTGATTTCTTTCCTGACCCTCCATAGTGAGTGACATTTGACCTTTCCCCGGCTGCAGGCATCCGAGGGGAAGCTGAACTTGGCCCAGGAGGAGCTGGCTGCTAACCGAACCCATCAGACAGGTCTAGAGGCTCAGATTCAGGAACTGAAGACAGGCAGGAGCTCACTGGAGCAGGAGCTCACCAAACGTGACCAGAAGCTCCATCAGCAGCAGGAGCTACAAAAGCAACAGGTCAGACAAATGAATACACGCACACCTACGTGACTTGATGTGGATAAGATTATATATTCTCTGTTGCACCTACTTGCCTAGGGCCAAATCAAGCAGGAACTGGAGAAGGAGAAGAGCAAAGTGGAGGAGCTGAACAAAGCCACGAGTGTCCTGGAAAAGAAGAACACCAACTTAACTTCTGACTTAAAAGCACTAATGGAGAAGAGTGAGAAGGTTAGCTAAAACTTTATTTTGAAACAGAAGAAAGAAACTTAAATTCAGAAAGTCTAGGCTAATGTTCGCAGTGACTGAGATTTTTTTTTTTGTCCCACACTGATATGACCTGCTTCCCATGCATGTCCGATGTACTCAGCTTAACTCAGGGATACTGTAGGTCATCATCTTTAACGGAATAACCGAGCATGCTAGAGTGAATAATTTGACATGGGCCTGGATTTTTCACTTGATTTCAAGCCATGAAGAACCTGTTTCCAGTCTTGTTTTCAGATGTGATATGCTGCTTCTTTCTCTCTACCAGCCATTATGCTTGTGGTTCCATATCTGTTGCTTCTCAGGAGCTGGGTGAGTTGCAGGAAGCCAAACAGCTGTTGATCCAACAGAAACTGGAGCTGCAGGGTCAGGTGGAGACGGCGCGCAGAACCCTCGAGAAGGAGCAGAAGGAGCACCAGGCCACCAAGGACAGCAGGAGCAAGAGAGAGGAGCAGCTACTCGCCCAGACCAAGGATGTCAAGGATCAGTTGGTAAGATCATCAGACCAGATATAATTTCAGGTTTGTAGATTAAGTGCCATTCACTTGCCTCAGGATCCCTTTGTGTGATGTTTTATTTTTCTTTTTTCAAAAGGCAGCAGAGAAGCAAGCCAGAGAGGAGCAGGTGAAGCGCGGAGAGGAGGCGGAAGCTAAGCTTGGCGTGCAGGTGACGGCTCTGAATGAAAACGTGGCCACGCTAAAGAGAGAGTGGCAGGGCAGCCAGCGGAGAGTCAGCGAACTGGAGAAGCAAACAGATGAGCTGAGAGGAGAGATCGCTGTGCTCGAGGCCACCGTCCAGAACAACCAAGACGAGAGACGGGCTCTTTTAGAAAGGTGCGTTTATTATTTCCTGGAAGCCTTAAGAGGTTTTTGAATGTGCTTCAGTGGCCTCAAAGCTTAGAGAAGTATATGGTGAGTAGCAAGTTGTTAAAGAGGGAACTGTTTAATTCCTTTTGTCAGAGTTGGTGACTTGGGTCAGCATCTTAAAGGTTAAGCCAAAAGATAGGTTGGTTAAGTTATCCAGAGTCAGCTTTCTGCTGCATATGTGCTTGTAAGTAGGGTCATTTTCAGAACATTGAGCTGAGCTGCATCCAGAGCCACAGTCGACAGGATTTGCAGCTTTTCAATAACAAGGTTTTCCAAATGTATCTAATACATTGCATTAAAACAAGCACTTTCCTCATTTAGGGTGTATGAAATAAATTTTGGTTAATACATTGTATTAAACCATTGCTATTAAATGACTACTTTATAACATTGCCACCCAGAGCTGCTTAACATTGATTCTGGGTGGTTTTGCCCACATTTCTCTGACATTTTTAGATTCACCCATTTGCAGTCTCAATTTTTAAAGAACTTAATTTCCCTGTGCATAACAAATCATAATTAAATATTAAATTGATGATATATGAGCTCTAAAAGCTGGTACATGCACCACCACACATGAAGGAAAAGGATAATCTAGGGTCAGTAAGCAACATCCATCCAGATGTAAAGAGCAGAATGTGAATGTTTGCATAAACAGACACAGAATATGATTCAGCAGATTCGAGTCTAAACCCAACAATATGCTGCTCTGATCCTCCAGAGGCAGGACATTAAAACATTAAAGGTTTATATTAAATGCTTTACTGCAGTGTGTATTTTACATTGCCTACAGGTGAAATTCAGGAGAAAAACAGTGGTTTGAACAACAGACAATGGCGTTGTACTGCATAAAGTCCATTGTTTGTGTACACACTGTGAAGGGTGAAAGCACCTAATTTCCAGGTGTGAGGAGTGGCCAGCTGCTCACACACCTCTGTTTCAGGGAAACTTCACTCTGTTCTTACCTGTCAAAGTTCATGTGTTTATTAGTCTTTTATTAACTCCCTTTTGTAATCTTGTATCTCTACTCTTAGCACCAGGAATGAGCCACCCATGAAAACATGCATTAACTTCGTACTGTTTTATCAAGGGTATTTAAATGTGTTGTCTGACAGACGTGCTTGTTCTTTTTGTTCAAGTGGATGGGTGGAATGTGATTAATCCACATTGAATTGAAATGAGGCAGATATACCTGTTAGCAACAGGGTGCTGTGGCGAGTAGCAGTCACCCAGAGGACATCATCATTATTCCCCTAAACACTGTGCATTGGAAAGTATTAATTAACAAACCAATTATGCAGCCAGCCAAGTGGTGGTAGGAAATTCTCCTGAGCCACTAACGAACATGAACACATGACAAATCATGTGTGGCTGTGTTTCAGATGTGTAAAGGGTGAAGGTGAGATAGAGAAACTGCAGGCCAAGGTGGTGGAGCTGAGGAGGAAGCTGGACGACACAACTGCCGCGATGCAGGAGCTGGGCAGAGAGAACCAGTCGCTCCAGGTCAGTCTCACAGCACCAGACTACCTGCACTTGTACATAGGAACATAATGAATAGGACCATTATAGATACAGTATGTCTGGCAGTGATGCAGTGGATGTACAGCACTTGTTGGTGTTAGGATGCTTTATTGCACTACAAAGCTAAAAAGACAGATGCACAGATTGTAACACCTGCTGTCGGTATGTCTAGATCAAGCAGTCCCAATCGCTGACCAGGAAGTGGGCAGAGGATAACGAAGTGCAGAACTGCATGGCCTGCGGCAAAGGCTTTAGTGTCACTGTCAGGAAGGTGAGTATGAGGTTTTCTGAAATATTCAAAGGCATTAGGACATGACACTTATAACTGTATTATTTATTGTCCACTGTGTACCTCTTTCCTCCTCTGTGAATATCCAGCACCACTGCAGACACTGTGGGAACATTTTCTGTGCTGAGTGCTCATCCAAGAACGCCTTCACACCATCCTCTAAAAAGCCAGTACGGGTGTGTGAGACCTGCTTTGAGGAGCTCCAAGGCTGAGTTCCCTCTCATCCCTTTACACCCCACCGCCCTCATCCCTTCCTTTCCCGTTCCAGCAGGCAGAACTAGGCGTGTCCTTGTCATATTTAATGTGCACTATAAAGGACAGATCCAGTGCATGACTTGTGGCTGTGGTGCGGAGGGAAATAACACACCAGAGTCATGCAGTGGGATGGGGTGGGCTCGGTTGGGATTGTCTGTATCTGTTTTTGTGCCTTTGCTACTCCTGTGGATTGCCAGACAGCGGCGACAGTGCGAACAGAACACCATCCATCTCTTTTATTCATATTCACATCTCATTCATCGTTTGCCATCAGTAGCAGTTGGACGTGGGCTGCTGCTTCTATACATTATGAAATGTTTGGCGTGTTGTCAGGAGGTGTAAGGTTATTGTGACATTGCAGGAACTCACTGCTGCCCTACAAAGATAAATGCAGGTAACTGTTTTGTTCAAAAACAATTCCTGTAAATGCCCCATGTAATCTGGCGTCTGTGTAAAACTATGAATCGGATCACTGACATCTAAATTGAAATTTTTATAGCAAGAAAGTTAAACTTAAGCAATCATCAAGTTCAAAATATTTTTGTAAAATTTTGCAGTTTAACATACCGAACTGTATTTGATGTGTGTAATGCAGATTTGACATGTTTAACACTGTGTGCCGCAGAAGCTTTAGTTTATCAGCTGAAGTCAGACAGATGTACACTGTTTTGAAGATTCGGTAAACGCTGGTTACAGCTGGAGATTTTAGGAACAACATGTTTTTTTTTTTCATATAAATCTCCAACTTTTAAATTTAACTTACCTGAGGGAAAACTTCATCAGTTGATGTACCAGTGACTTGCCGTCATGTCTGTCATTCCATGTGTCCCTTGTTGTGGCAGTGCATTTGTGAACTTGTTGAAATTAATGTATTCAGCCTATTTCATGACCAAAGCATGTCCGCAGCA